TAGCCGCTTGAGCCACAGGCGCCGAGCCTATTATTGTTTTTAGTGATAGTGTCTCACTTTGTCATTTAGGCTAGAGTACAGTGACATGATTGTAACTCACCTGCAGCCGTCAGTTCCTGCATGCAAGTGAACCTCCTGCCCTAGTCTCCCAAGTAGCTGCAACTACAGACATGCATCACTGTGCCTGACTGATTTTTAAAACATTTTATTGAGTTAGTCTTGATATGTTGACCAGGATGGTCTTGAACTCCAGGTCTTGGGCAATCCTCCTATTTGGCCTCTAAAAGTGCTGGGATTACAGGTGTGAGCCACAGTCTTCAGCCTTGACTGAGTATCTTTAATACCTAGATTAGCTGATATGTGTACTTTCACAGAAATGAGTAATTTAAAAAAATATAAGTTGATTTGAAACTTGATTTTAACCATAAAAATGAAATACAGTAGAACCTCCATAGTTGACTACCTCCTTAAGTTGGACTAATTTTCATAGGCATGTGCCACATGTATGTATCAGCACAGTAGGCCTAGTTGCTCATGCTGACCACCTCTGTAAGTTGAGCAGTTACACTCCCTCAAGTGGTCAACTCTCAGAGGTTCTATTGTGATTGATATCAGTCTTAGGATTTGTTGACTTTTTCTTCCCCCTTTGCCTTTTTCCCACTCCCCTTTCTGCCCCCCCCCCACATTTGAAAAAATCTTGTTTTCAGCTATAAACAGATGCTCAGGCATATCAAGTAATGAGTTATAAAACTAACATTCTGTAATTTATACAGTGAATGTATGCTAGTTATCATACTGAAAGTAATACATTTATGGCAGTTATGTTGCTACTAAGTGTATTTTCAAAATTCTAACTTCTTGAATTTTATTCAGAATTTGGCATATTTTGTTTTTTTCCCTAAACTTATTCAAGTAAAGGGTTTAGGATTCTTTCTAAACAGAACAAGAATGAGATGCTAACCTGAAGTTCTGCTCAAAGTTGTAGGCCATGTTATTTGTCCCTGGAACTCTGAAGGAAGGGAGGAGATCGAAGGGTGAAAATTGTACAGCAGGGTGGATTTTTAGGTGGGTCTTTCCAGAGAACTATATAGCAGAGTCTACTTGTAGTATTAGAAAATCTTACTCAAGAAAATTCAGAAAGAACTTTTGGAAAACCACTAATGTTTCTATTCAGATTGTTATGATTTTTCTTTTCTTTTCTTTTTTTTTTTTGTAGAGACAGAATCTCACTTTATCGCCCTCGGTAGAGTGCCATGGCATTCAGCTCACAGCAACCTCCATCTCCTGGGCTTAGGCGATTCTCTTGTCTCAGCCTCCCAAGTAGCTGGGACTACAGGGGCCCGCCACAACACCCTGCTAGTTTTTTGTTGCAGTTTGGCCGGGGCGGGGTTTGAACCCGCCACCCTTGGTATATGGGGCCAGTGCCCTACTTACTGAGCCGTAGGCACTGCCCAGATTTTCTTTTTCTTTATCACAGTTTTTTTTCCTAGATCTCAGCTAGTTGTTTATTTGAATAAACCAAGTAAAAAAAATTCTTGATTTTTAAATGTGTCTTACTTGTGGATTTGTTTGCTATCACACAAAACAAAACATCCTCTCATGTTAATGGCTACTCTTGTTTGTGGCATATGAGAAATGTCATCTAAGAAAACATTTTATTACTTTGTAATTGATACATTTAGGAAGAATGGGCCATTAACACATATTATATTTGACCTAAGAATAAGTAGTTTTGGTTTTTATCTTGGAAAAGTGTAATAGTCAATATATGTTAGCCATTTTAAGGCTATTTATGTATCTTGTTATGGAAAATAAGAGCTCATGTGCTGTTATTTATGTGGATTTATTTTTAAACTATAGCTGTATGTTTAGAAGTTATAAAGCGGTTAACAAAAGGCATTACCCTCTCTTTCTGTTTTTCCCTTTTGGTCAATGTCAAGTCTCTGACTGAAAGCCTGCAAAAGATGAAAGACTGGACTGCTGTGCTTGGAGAAGACCTAATGGATGATGATAACTTGGAGTTAGAAGTGAAGAGAGACTCAGAAAGTGGTGCTCACTTAGGTATTAAGTCATGACTCATCCTCTTTTGCCAAAATGGTGACTAGCTCTTCTATTTCCTTTTTGTTCCCCACGTGCATTATGTTTTTTATACACTGTATTCTGGCACTTTCTGTCTGTCTGTCTGCAACACTCACCTATCACCATCCTGTATGCTTTAGCTTTGGCTGGAAGGCTGCTCTTTCAGTAAATATTTCTCCAATTCCTCAGACAGACTTTCAGCCTCCTTCCCCTCTGTTTTCTTTATAGATCAAATATATCTTTATTATAGTAGTTTTCAAAATTGCATCATCATTTCGATGCCTGTTGTTCTCTGTACTGTAAGCTAGTTAAGGAGATGGATGACTAGCTTGAAAATGAGTATTATGTTAATGAATACTTCAGGATACTTTTTTTGCTTTTGTCAAAATCCAGACGGTTACGATACTTTAATAATGGCCGTCTACATTGTTATTGCTGACTCGGCGCCCGTAGCACAGTGGTTACAGTGCCAGTCCCATATACTCATGCTGGAGGGTTTGAACTCAGCCTGCGTCAGCTAAACAACGACAACTGCAACAAAAAATAGCCGGGCGTTGTGGCAGGCACCTGTAATCCCAGCTAGTTGGGAGGCTGAGGCAGCAGAATCACTTGAACCCAGGAGTTCGAGGTTGCTGTGAGCTATGACACAATGGCACTCTCCGAAGGGTGACAAAGTGAGACTCTGTCTCCAAAAAAAAAAAAGGAGAAAGAATAAATTGTTACCGCTATTTGCTGGTTGCTGTATGGAGCTGGCAAAAGTTAGCTTCACTACTTACTGTATTCGTAAATCAATCCCTTTTGACTTTAAAAGAAGAAAACTTTTCATTTTGAAATAATTATGGATTCATAGGAAGTTGCCTTGTACTTTTCACTCATTTTTACCCAGTGGTAGTTCTTCTGACTAATATGTCCTTTCCCTTTTCCCTCTTTGGACCTCTTGTATATTTAACAAATATATTAAGGAGGAGAAAGTGTGAATTTTTATTTTTATTTTTATTTTTTTTGCAATTTTTGGCTGGGGCTGGGTTTTAACCCGCCACCTCCAGCATGTGGGGCTGGTGCCCTCCTCCTTTGAGCCACAGGTGCCACCCATGAATTTTTATTTTTTTAAAGATTTTTTTCAGGCTGGGCACAGTAGCTCATGCTGGTAATCCCAACACTCTGGGAGGCCAAGGCAGGTAGATTGCCTGAGCTCAGGAGTTTGAGACTAGCCTGAACAAGAGCAAGACCTTGTCTCTAAAAATAGCCGGGTGCTATGATGGGCTCCTGTAGTTCCAGCTTCTTGGGAGGCTAGGGCAAGAGGATCGCTTGAGCCTAGGAGTTTGAGGTTGCTGTGAGCTATGATGCCATGGCACTCTACCAAGGGTGACAAAGTGAGACTCTGTCTTAAAAAACAAAAAAGAGTTTGTTTTCAGATTGCATTAAGAAAATTACATTCCCAAAGTAATACAAAGTTCTATTTGTACTTTCTCTCTTCTGCTTTATCATGAAAATAATCTTTTTCTGGGGCGGTGCCTGTGGCTCAGTGAGTAGCGCACTGGCCCCATATACTGAGGGTGGTGGGTTCGAACCCGGCCCAAGCTAAAACTGCAACAAAAATAGCCAGTGTTGTGGCGGGTGCCTGTAATCCCAGCTACTCAGGAGGCTGAGGCAAGAGAATCACCTAAGCCCAAGAGTTGGAGGTTGCTATGAGCTGTGATGCCATGGCAGTCTACCAAGGGGAAGAAAGTGAGACTCTGTCCCTTAAAAGGAAAAAAAAAAGAAATCTTTTTCTAATGGAGAAAACGCATGCTTGCTAATGTTATTTTAATTTGGTTATAATTCCACTCATATTTTGATGCTGTAAGAATCTAAGAAAACTGGCCTGTATTTAGGTGAGTAGTGAATCCTTGTAGTAATTCTGTTTTTAGAGCTAGTGCTGAAGAACCTTGTTAAATGATACGGTACTTCAGTGCTTTTATTCCTTAGCTTCATAGAGCAGGTCCATGGTCATTCTGCCTTATTCTAAACTCTTTATCATAGCAAGAAGAGGTATTTTTTATTTTATTTTATTTTATTTTATTTAGAGACAGTCTGTTTGTCGCCCTTGGTAGAGTGCTGTGGCGTCACAGCTCACAGCAACCTCCAGCTCTTGGGCTTAGGCGATTCTTTTGCCTCAGGCTCCTGAGTAGCTGGGACTACAGGCACCCACTCAATGCCCAGCTGGGCAGGGCTGGGTTCCAACCCACCACTCTCAGTATATGGGGCTGGCGCCCTACTCACTGAGCCACAGGCACTGCCCACCAAGATGAGGTTATTATAAGGGTTGAGTGAACTAATAATCATTTGGTTGGATGTTGTGGTATTGTACTGTTTTCCCAAATCATCATTATACTTCTGCTTTTCACTATAGATAATCAGCCAAAAGGAGCTTTGAAGAAACTGATTTATGCTGCTAAGGTTTGTATTATTATATAAATATAAAGAATATGGAGGAATAAATAGAACATGGATTAAATCCATATGTCCTTCATAACTACTTAAAAAGTTATTTTAGAAGTGATCAGAATAGTCTTCATCTATTGCTTTTTATTTTAAAAATAAATTTAGAAATTCATATAGTTAATTTTTAGAATTTGTCAAAATAAAAATTTCAAGTTCTGCACTCATTTTTTAGCTAAAGGATATATACATGTATGAAATGTTTATATTTTATCTTCTGTGTCCCTCGGTGCTTGCTTTTTCTTTTAGTTTCAGTATTTTATTATCTCTGCCCTATATCCTGTTCTGAGAAGTAAATACGAGGTTCGTTTTCTTCTGGTTTATTCCTTCTCTTTTTCACCTTAGTGGTGGTATCCTGACCTTGGGTGATCATTGTGAACTCTAGATAATGTTTTTTGAAGACTGCTTTAATCCAAACTTGTACTAAAAGTAAACAGAATGAAAATAGCCACTGTTTAAAGTGTCCAGTGAAAATCATTTATTGCTTTCCTTCACTCTATTCTGTGATTTACAACAATTGATGACTTTTCAAGCTTTCTGACATGGAAGCTGTGGTACTGGCTTTTGCATTCTGGGCAATAAATCCATTAGAGTGATAAATTAGCTTCAGAAGGGTTGGGGGTGGCATAGTGACGTTTTGGTAATGAGTTAATGTTGCTGTTTTCTTTCTTGCATTTTTAAAGTTAAATGCTTCTTTGAAAACCCTGGAAGGAGAAAGAAACCAAATTTACGCTCAATTATCTGAAGTAGATAAAACCAAGGAAGAACTTACAGGTGAGTAATACTTGCCAAGTTTTTTAAAGAAAATCTATCTCCTCATAGAGAATAGTATCACTGATTGAATTAATTTAGGTGTGATCCAATTTGATTTTTTTACTTTTGGCTTTTGTTGGCTATTTGTGAAAACTTAGTCCTGATTTTGTTGCTGTTGGTAAAGCTGTGTCAGTTTCCTTTATATTATGTGAAATTAAAATAATGAAAAATGTTTTGAAAATATGAAAACTATTTTTGAGTTCCAGTTATGTGTTTAGTATCATGTTAGATGTTAAAAAATAGCAAATCATAGCTTATTTTTTTAATCTTTATTAATTACAGAATTGATCTACTTGCAGTGTGGTTTGCTCTTTTAATGTGCACACATAGCATATTAGCATATTCAGGAGTAAAGAAGGTTTGTTTTCATTGAAGACATTTCTGGGCCTGGTGCAGTGGCTCATTCCTGTTATCTGAGTGCTTTGGGAGGCCAAGCCAGGAGGATTGCTTGAGGTCAGGAGTTTGAAGTCAGCCTGAGCAACATAGAGAGACCCTATCTAGGCTTGATGGGCTGGGCTTGGTGGTATATTCCTGTAGTCACAGCTACTTAGGAGGCTAAGGCAGGAAGAGTTTGAAGCTATAGTGAGCTATGATCATGCCACTGCACTCCAGGCCCAACAACAGAGTGAGACCTTGTCTCAGAAAAAAAAAAAAAAAAAAAAAGAAAGAGAAAATATTTCTGTTTATTTTGCTAATAGTATTTGTATTTATTTATTTATGAGACAGTTTTACTCTGTTGCCCTGGGATTGAGTGCCATGGAGTCATCATAGCTCATAGCTACCTCAACCTCAAACTCTTGGGCTCAAGATCCTCTTGCCTCATCTTTGTGAGTAGCTGAGACTACAAGCACCTGCTGCAATACCCGAGTACATTTTTTATTTTTAATATGGATGAGGTCTTGCTCTTGCTCAGGCTGTTCTCAAACTCCTGAGCTCAGGCAGTCCACCCACTCGGCCTCATAGGATTAGAAGGATGAGCTATTATGCCCAGCCAGTGTTTATATTTTAAAAAGTATAAAGTCTGGCTGGGTGTGGTGGCTCATGCCTGTAATCTTAGCACATTGGGAGGCTGAGGCCGGTGGATTGCTTAAGCTTAGGAGTTCGAGACCAGCCTGAGCAAGAATGAGACCCTGTCTCTAAAAACTAGCTGGGTGTGGTGGGCTACTCAGGAG